GGCTAGCCTCGCCATGTTGCCCTGGCAACAGCACCACCCACCGTGTTGCCACTTCTTCTCTCGTACCTTCCCCCGACCCATATCCAAACCATCCCAGAGTCTTGCCACTTTTCCTCCTACTTAGCCATCAAATCCCTCCCCTTTGTGCCACTTCCACTGTAAATTGCCAGATTTAGTAAATATAAATACAGAACTCCCAGTTAAATTTGAACTTCAGATAACAAATTTTTAGTGTAATTATGCCTCATGCATCCATTCTGTCCCCCCTTTCTAAGAGAACCCCAATTTTTACTCCAGCCCTCACTGCACCCAACCAAAAGAACACATTTCTGGTCAGATGATCATACCCACGCTCACACCATCATCACTGGGAGCTGTCCCCACACCCTCATTATGTTTGGTGGAGGCAGATACATTTCCTCAGAAAACAAGTAATCGGGGTATATGATTTCTTATTTGAAATAAGGCTGAGCCCTCCAAGCACAAGAAAGGTTTACTTGTCATGTATTTATTTCTTACAAAGTCCAGGTGTTGGCTCCTCAAGTAAGTGGTGGCCCCCGCAGCCCCAGGGTGGCTCAGGCTAGAACCCCTCCTGGAGTTTCCAAACATTGAAAGGACGTCAGGCATCTCAAAGAGGCCCTCACATCCTTTCCCAGAGCCCCCTGGGAACTTGGCAAGTTTCCCCCTAAAATGTGCACCACCTACGTCTTACACATCGCCGAGGTATCACTCGCTTCTGATTTTTCAGCCAGGAAGGAAAAGCTTCCCAAGGCCATGGCCATGATCTTAAGGAGATCTAACACTAAAATACTTCACCAAGCCCGGCTGCTGTGGCTCAGTGGTTGAGCATCAACCCAAGCACTAAGAGGTCACCGGTTTGATTCCCGGTCAGGGCACATGCCCAGGTTGTGGGCCCGATCCCCAGTGGGGGGCATGCAGGAGTCAGCCAGTCGATGTTCCCTCTCATTGATGTTTCTACCTCTCTCTCCCTCTCCCTTCCTTTCTCTCTAAAATCAATAAAGGAAAAAAAATAATACTTTACCAAGCCAAATCCTATAAACAAGGCGTTTACCTATCTAACTTTTTAAAAAATATGGTTTTATTGATTTTAGAGAGTGGAAGGGAGGGGGAAAGAAAAACATTGATGTGAGAGAGAAATATTGATCAGCCACCTCCTGTACATACCCTGGGGATCAAACCTGCACACTAGGTATGTACCCTGACCTGAATTGAACCAGCGACCTTTCAATGCATGGGATGATGCTCAACCAACTGAGCCACACTGCCAGTGATATTTACCTAACTTTTGAAGGCCAAATACCTAAGAGCAAATGGAAACAGTCTAACCAAACTGAATACTTCAAACTAGAAATGCAGACAATGGAGTCATACAGAATATTCCTAAATCATTTGGGAATTTTTAAAGTTTAGTACCCTAATATCTTAATATTTTGATAACTTAGAGTGCAGAGACTATAGAAACAGTCTTGGAACTCTCTTCATTTAGCTTAATTGGACTTTAGTGCCACTAGCTGGGTAACAATTTTCCCTCCAGTCCACAGAGGCCATTCTTTTTCTCAAGATCTGACATTAGAATACCTTAAGTGCAATGTAAGTTGGTACTCTAATGAATATACTTGCCAATATCATATACGGGGTTTTTTTTTATTAAACCCACAAACTTCAGTTAAATAAAGAAATGAACACACACACACACACACACCTATGCACACACATTTTTATTTTGTTATTTTTATTTCTTTATTATTATTTTTAATCCTCACCTGAGGATATTTTTCCATTTTTGTTCAGATAGAGTGGGAAAGAGAGAGAGGAAGAGAGGGAGAGAGAGAAATATCGACATGAGAGGGACACATCGACTGGTTGCCTCCCGCACGAGGACCCCAATCAGGCGGGGGACGAACCGCAACCAAGGTACGTGCCCTTGACTGGAATCAAACCCACAACCCATTGGTCCATGGGCCAGTGCTCTAACCTCTATGCCAAACTGGCCAGGGCCACACATTCTTATTTACCAGAGAACTAAAATGAGATGAAGGAGATCTTCATGTCTAGGAGGTTCAACTTCTTTGTGCCTAGATAGAAGAAGGGGCTGGGCCCTGGCCAGTGTGGCTCAGTTGGGGGGGGGGGGGGTCGTCATGTGCACCAAAAGGTTGCAATTAGATTCTGATTCAGGGACATGCCTGGGTTGCAGGCTCAATCCAATTGGGATGCATACAGGAGGCAATTAATCAATGTTTCTCTCTCGCATTGATGTTTCTCTCTCTCTCTCATCAATAACAACATATCCTCAGGTGAGGATTTTAAAGGAAGAGGAGGAGGAGGAGGAACTGCAATGGCTATGACACACATATTTTTCCCATTTGGCCTTTGTCTATGCCTTAGTCTCCTCAAAACACTCAAGTGAGCCCTGGCTGGTTTGGCTCAGGGGTTAGAGTGACAGCCCAGACCAGAGAGGCCCAGGTTCGGTTCCTGCTAAGGGCATGTACCTCGGTTGCAGTTTGTCCCCGGCCCTGGTTGGGGTCGTGTGAATGGCAGCCACTCAGTGTGTCTTTCTCACATCGATGTTTCCCTCTCTCTCTCTCTCTCTTCCCCCCTCTTTCCCCCCTGCTCTATCTGGAGATAAATGCAAAAATGTCCTCAAGTGAGGATTAAAAAAACACACAGTGTGTGCACACACGACTGAAAGTGAGTGATAGGGCTCTTCACCTGCCAGCTGCTGGGAGTGGCATGGAGTGAGGCCTGGCCACTGCGGTGTGCCACAGAGGGCCCCAATCCAGTAAAAATTGCCCCGATTTCCAGGGGATGGAATGTGCTCTTGCAACTTCAGAAATGTAAGCATTTACTAATTTTTAAAAATCATATCTACTTAGGCTTAGAGCAGCATCTAGGAATTATATATAGAGACCTCTTTGAAATCTAAAGACTACTTCAAATCTTCTGAAACTGTTTTGGTTGTTTGTCTTAATCCCTTGACTGTGTAAAACTCCTTTCCTCCAAGCAGTTTCCTTTTCCACCGGGATAATCCCATCTGGAAATTCCTGCAGAACCTTCCTTTTGGTCCATTTTGTGTTCTCTGCTGTCTACCCACACAGGTGGTTGAAGTTGACATTTTTATATTTTAAGTAACAGAAGCACATAAATATTACTTTTTTCAGATGTCAATGTATCTGAGAAAATCTGTTGGTAACCTCTTTTTCGCCGTTTCTAAATTATTTGGTTTGATTTTCTTTCCTGGATTTTGTTGGGTAGCAGGGTGGGCCTTGTGGCCCTGGGGTAAGAGAATCGGCGCAGAGGTAAGCTGATGTTAACCTGAGGAGGGGTCGGGTGCAGGTGCCAGCAGGAGCCACATGCTACTAGTTCCTCTGAAGGCACATATGGAGAGCGCGCGAATGTGCCATGTTCTGCGCCCGCTTCGTCGCTTCGGCTGGGTCTGAAGACAATGTTTTGACAGGGAAAGAAACGGTGTCTTGTGTCTTGGGCACTCTGAGTCTCCGCATGGGCCCCAATTCTCTTTCCACTCTAAGGTTTTGGGGAGACCAGATCTGCACCCCTCATTAGCCAACCAGTGGGATCTCCTTAGTGGAGAAGGAGATTGGTTATGAAAATGCTTGAGCCATTGGTTTGACTGCTAAGAATCACAGCCTGGCTGCACAGGGGTAGCTTCTGTACCCACCTTTTCCTCCAAATGTTTGCTTCTTGCCTGATTGATGAGAGACCCTAAGACTCATGACTGGTGCTCACTGAGCTGTCACCTGCTTGGCTGTAGACAGACAATACTGAAGAGGGAAATGGAGCTATATGGCACTACCAATCATCACCTGGGGGAGAGCCAGCCTTCACATTTTTCTGACATGTATCCAGTAAATAGTAGAGAAAATCTCAAAAAAAAAAAATGAAATGATAATAATTTTACCAAAATTAATGAAAGCTCACGTCTGCATTTTACCATCGATTTGAGGGCATCCTTAGAAAACTAAATTTAACTGAATAAAACTGAATGTGGACTGTATAGTTGGGGTATTGTAGCAATGCTAAATTCTCTGAATTTGATATTTGCATTGAGATTGTTGGAGAATATCCTTCACCCTAGGAGATACATACTGAAGTCTACACGCACGTAGGAGTAAAAGGTTGTGATATCTGCCACTTACTCTCAAATAATTCAGCAAAATAATAATAGCAATAATATGAGAGAGCATGCATACAAATTTGGACGGATGTTAACAATCATAGAATCTAGGTGAAAGTATGTAGGTATTTGTTCATTGTACAAGTCTCGCAATTTTTCTGTATGTTTGAAAGTTTTCAAAATATAAAGTTAAGCCCTGGCCGGTTTGGCTCAGCGGTTAGAGCGTCGGCCTGCGGTCCGGAGAGACCCGGGTTCGGTTCCCGCTAAGGGCATGTACTTCGGTTGCAGTTTGTCCCCGGCCCTGGTTGGTCGTGCGGTGGCAGCCACTCGATGTGTCCCTTTCACATCGATGTTTCTCTCTCTCTATCTCTTCCTCTCTCTCCCTCCCACTCTATCTGTACAAAAAATGGAAAAATGTCCTCGGGTGAGGAAAAAAAAAAAAAGAGTAGAGAAAAAAATATATATGTATATAAAGTTAAAAAAAGCCAAGTACAGCAATTCCTCATCAAAGTCAAACATCTGATTAAGAAGTCACAGGGGCAGAAGCATCAACTGAAAGGGGCCCCCCAGAGTGCTCGGTGCCTGTGGGCCTGTTTCTGCTCAGGGTTGTCTTGGAATGTCCAAAGCACCTGTGGACAGAAGCAAAGAGTTAAAGGTTGTGTTCCATTAGAAGGCTAAGAGTTCTCAACCAACACTCTCAACTCAAGAAGTGCGGCCATGACATCTGCCCAAGGCACCACCTAGGGCTAAAGACGCCATCCTCTCTAGGAGAGGCTCTGCCTTTTCTCCTCTCCAAGGAGACGATTCTCAAAAGCCTGCCCCTCTGGGCTCACCTCCAGTTTTTATGCTATTCTCTGAAGGTCCTTAGCCCCCCAGCCGAGATTAAACTGTATAACAGAGGGATCGCTGGCTGCCAATCGTCAAGCTCCTTAACTTCTCTTATCTCGTTCTTCAGTTTGTTGGCCTTCTCCTTTATCCAGAAAGGCAAGCTGTCGGAAGAAAACCACACCCTGAGTTTGCGTTTGTCTGATGCAAAATTTATAAACATGGTCAGTAAGAAGGCCTCCAACTTAGAAGATCAGTGTCAAAATAAAACACCATGCTAATTGTTCACCATTTGCCCCTGCCCCACACCCAGATCTTTCTTCTGCCCTTTTCTGTTGAGGAAGCTGACCCCTGCCCTTTTCTGTTGAGGAAGCTGACACCTTGACTCCTCTCTGTCCGCACCTTTGAGCTGGGCTTGGCTAATGAGAGGCACCAACAGGAGATCAGAATCCCAGCTGAGTATGCCTCTGTTTTCTGCTGGGACCTCAGACACCCAGGGTCCTCCCAGGTCTGTTGAGATTTGAAATGGCGTATGCGGGGCTGCGCTGTGTATGCAGCTATCAGGAAGTGTGACTCCTGGGATGAGCGGAAGCAGGGAGATGAAGAATGTTTTCATGTTTTGGCAGCTAGAACTTTCATCTTTTTAAGGAGACATGCACCGCCCTGGCGTTAGAGCATTAGAGCGTTGGCCCCCAGGTCGCAGGTTGGATTCACGGTCAAGGGCACGTACTTGGGTTGCAGTTTCAACCAATGGATGTGTCTCTCTCACATCAATGTTTCTCTCTCTCCCCCTCTCTTCCCTTCCACTCCTGCCACTCTTTCTAAAAAAATCAATGGAAAAATATCCTCGGGGAAAGATTAATCAAAAAAAGCTCCCTGATTGGGGAAAAGCCCTGATACGCTGCTGAGGTAGGAAAGTTCCTGCAAGGAGTTAGAGAAGGATTACCATATAATATAGACAATGGATGGGAGTCAATGTTATCGTTTAAAGACAAACCAACAGTAGAAGCCCAAGTAAAAATAGTACGACAAAGAGCAATATACTGGCACATATCTCTTTCTGGGTTAGAACCTTCCCTGAGTACATAAGTAAAGTTCAGAATGGAACGAAGCAAAATGTGAGATCAGAGGAATGATACGTCCTTCACATACAGGAATACTCCAACGGCTTTCTCTCTGCCTTTTCAAACGCTAACCAACCTCCCTGGCTGCATTCATTGAAGCATGTGTCTTTCTTTGCCAACAAACTATGTTTCAGAAATCGGGGACCTTGTGTTTTTGGTTTTTTTTTATCCTCACCAGAGGATATTTTTCCATATTTTGTACAGATAGAGTGGGAGGGAGAGAGAGGAAGGAGAGAGAGAGAGAAACATCGACGTGAAGGGACACATCGAGTAGCTGCCACCCGCACGACCAACCAGGGCCAGGGACAAACTGCAACCGAAGTACGTGCCCTTAGCAGGAACCGAACCCGGGTCTCTCCGGACCGCAGGCCGACGCTCTAACCGCTGAGCCAAACTGGCCAGGGCGGGACCTTGTGTTTTTGCTCCATGTTATTCCCCTACATAGTGCTTACCTAGCACAACACGTGGCACCTGGTAGTCTGTCAATCATATCCTGTGAGCAGCCCAGCTGTCAGACTCCACAGACACTTGCCTCCAAGTCTTTCATCAAAAACCCTCCATATAACCCAGCCAGTGTGGCTCAGTGGTTGAGCATTGACTCATGCACCAAGAGGTCGCCGGTTCAATTCCTGGTCAGGGCACATGCCCAGGTTGTGGGCCCAGTCCCCAGTGGGGGGGCATGCAGGAGGCGGCCAATTGATGGTCTCTCTCATCAAGATTTCTATCTCTCTCTCTCCCTCCCTCTCCCTTCCTCTATCTAAAATCAATAAAGAAAAAAAAAATTTTTTTTTTTTTAAACACAAACCCTCCATACAAACTGCTCCACCCAACTGCTAGGATTCAAAAGGTCCCTATGTGTTGGGGGTCTATGAGTTCCTCCATAGGAGAAAATAATAAATGATTGATATTTTTAAAGATAGGATCATAAAAAACATGGTGAGAGAACTCACTTGCGAATTTGTGGAAGAGGCTTGAGTGGAATAAATGTATCAAATTTCTTTTCATAAGGCACTCTGAAAAACAGAGAAGGTGATCATAAAATTGGCTTGCTTCTACAGCAGAGATCAATACATTATTGTGTTCAATAAAATGTCTTATTTTCTCACTTTAATTGTCATGTATGGGCTTCAAAACTGTAAGGGCCATAATTCTTATTAGTGAACATCATTAAATCAAACATAGTTAATTTTATAATTAGTACTTTTAAGGTAATACACCAACTATTTTTCTTTTAATTTAATGACCCTCCCTCTCTCTTCAGTCACTTTGGTCTAAGTTTAGTTCTTAGTGTAAGTGAACCCAGCTAGTAGTAATAATCGACAGTATGATTCGGTGTGAAAATTGTAAAGTCTTCAGATTTGTGGTAATAACAATAGGAATAAAATTAACAACCACTTTTTTATAGTAAAGGTCCTATGTATAATTTTATTTCTTTATTTTTTTAATCCTCACCCAGGACATTTTTGCATTTATCTTCAGATAGAGCAGAAGGGAGAGAGGGAGGAAGAGAGAGAGAGAAACATCGATGTGAGAGAGACACATCAAGTGGTTGCCACCCACACGACCCCAACCAGGGCCCGGGACAAACTGCAACCGAGGCACGTGCCCTTAGCAGGAACCGAACCCGGGTCTCTCTGGTCCACAGGCCAATGCTCAAACCGCTGAGCCAAACTGGCCAGGGCACATAATTTTAATTATACACTCATATGTGTGCATACATTAACAAACTACATGTGGGGCCTGGCCGGTTTGGCTCAGCGGTTAGAGTGTCGGCCATGGACCGGAGAGTCTCACTTTCAGTTCCCTGCTAAGGGCACATTTCTCGGTTGCAGTTGGTCCCCAGCCCCGGTTGGGGTCATATGGGTGGCAACCAGTCAATGTGTCTCTCTCACATCGATGTTTCTCTCTCTCTCTTCCTCCCTCTCTCCTTCGCGCTCTATCTGAAGAGAAATGCAAAAATGTCCTCGGGTGAGGATTATTTAAAAAAAAACAAAAAACCCCATATGTGGATGTTTTTAGGAATTTTCACCAATCGTGTTTTGTTGAGATCTACCCTTTGTAAAATATAACTTACATGTAGTAGAGAAAGATACAATTTCTAAATTTAACTAAATAACCCTAGTATGCATATACTTACAATGAAAAATTCACTGGTGGGAGAGTTGATCCTACTTTGTGGAAGCCCTTACTCTGTTCTGGGTACATATATGAATTATCTCCTGGAGTTAGCTTTGGGATTCCATTCCTGGGATCAATATCTGTTTTTAAAAAAAATCATAAAAATGGCTAAAAATGACCCACAGATTTGCTCTAAGTATTGACATGATGATGGAAATAAAATAATTTAGTGCTTTATTATCAGTTGCATATAGTATCTTAAAGTTCTGTTTATAATTGTCTTACCTTGAGGAGAACATGATAAAAGTGTGAGCCTATGTTTGGGACATTTTTCTAAAAGGTCTTGTTATGATTGTCTCACCCTGGGAAAGAAGAATGGCTGAGGTTTGGATTAGAAGGAATGATGAATGAAAGGTATCTCTGCAACAATGAGCAAGAACTCTGGCTTACATTTTTTGTACCTGAGCATGACTGCTCTTTGAACCCCTGAGTCCCATAAAGCTCTAGAAGCAACCGTCACTGGGGCTCTGCCTCTCTGACTGGTTCTCGGGAGGAAATCAGCTAATGAGAGTCCTGCTCCTCCTCCTGCTTCAGGGTCTGGGGCAGTGCAGCAGCAGGAGGTAACCTTCCCAGAGAGGAAGAGCCAGGAGAACGTCCACTGCTGCTGAGCACACACTGCTTATTTGGCTGATACTGTGACAGCCAACTCAGCCCCTTCGAACACCCCAGGAACAAGTAACGAACAAGTAATCACTTGAGCTTGGAAGGAGACAGCTGGTACAAGATAGCCATTTAAACCCACACATCTGACACCTGATGCACCTCCTAAGAGAACAAGCCTGGACTGCAAGACTACCCAGCCTTGGGATCATGTTGCTGACTGAAGGGGTCCGTTCACCTGTGCGCATCAAAGCCCAGTAAGACATGAACAGGAGTTTGCAGCCAAGAAAGTAAGGATTTATTAAGGAGATGGCACCATGCCCAGAGTCACAAGTGAGCTAATGCTCAAAGACCTGGCTCCCAGATGGCTTCCAGGGGATGGATTATATAGGGGGAAAATCAATTATGGTGACTAAAGGAGTTAGGGTTATAGTCTCTGCTGATTGGTTGGTGTGAGGCTAGAGGATAATTGATCACTGCATCTGGTCCTGATGTGAGCCATGGAGTCGCTAGAGGATAATTGATCACTGCATCTGGTCCTGATGTGAGCCATGGAGTCATTCTTTCTGAGTCAGCGAGGATTAGTTTGGTGGGATCATTCCGCTTTTCTAGGCACAGAACTGAAACACAACTGAGGCCAGGATATTATCTTTAGTTTGATTGAAAACTGTGTCCCTAAGACTACTGGATGCTGACATGAGCCTCACTGTCCTGAAGGCTTAATGATTAAGCAACGGAGAAGGAGACGAATGAGTCAGGGCACTGGGTGAGGCCCGTTTGAGTCAAAGGGGCAAAAAATCAAAAGAAAGCCCTGGCCGGTTTGGCTCAGCGGTTAGAGCATCGGCCTGCGGTCTCGTGAGACCTGGGTTCGGTCCCCGCTAAGGGCACGTACCTCGGTTGCAGTTTGTCCCCGGCCCTGGTTGGGTTGTGTGGGTGGCAACCACTCGATGTGTCCCTTTCACGTCAATGTTTCTCTCTCTCTCTCCCTCCCACTCTATCTGAACACAATATCAAAAAATGTACTTGGGTGAGGAAAAAAAAAAAAATCAAAAGAAAAGGCCAGATTAAAGAAAATAAGGGTTCCTGAGTGGGTGCATTAGAAGCAGGGCTGGAGGCATGTCCTCCTTCTTAGCCCACACACCCAATGAACAGAACTCATTTTTTTCTCTTTAAATACTTATTTTGATATTACTCAATTCAACTATACCCAGGATGCAAGCCAAAGGAAGTGCTAGAAAATATTTTATCTGTTTTTTTTTGTTTGTTTGTTTGTTTTTTGCAGGGGGAGGGTTGTTGTTGTTGTTGCTTTATTTTAGAGAGAGAAACATCGATGTGATGTGAGAGTGAAACACTGGTTGTCTTCCACACGTGCCCATGACCGGGGATCGAACCTGCAACCTGAATATGTGCCCTGACCAGGAATCAAACCAGTGACCTTTCTGTGTATGGGAGGATGCTCCAACCAACCGAGCCACACCAGCCAGGGTGGGAAGGTTTTTGATAAGCTGTTTCCTACCTACCCATTTCCTCTAACTAACTCACAATAGGTGGAAGTATTGGAGAATTTAAATTTTTTTTTTTTTTACCATTCTCTTTCAAATGCCTTTTTCAATTGCTAAGTCTCATCTAAATTTTTTATTAGCTCTTAAGTGTAGTAAAATAGCACCCTTGGATGGAGTGCCTGATAGATATGAGTGCAATGGGTTCCAAGTAAGGAGAGTGGAGGAATCCTTTTTTTTTTTTTTTTTTTTTTTTTTTTTTTTTAATCCTCACCCGAGGATATTTTTCCATTTTTTGTACAGATAGAGTGGGAGGGAGAGAGAGGAAGGGAGAGAGAGTGAGAAACATCGACGTGAAGGGACACATCGAGTGGCTGCCACCCACACGACCAACCAGGGCCGGGGACAAACTGCAACCGAAGTACGTGCCCTTAGCGGGAACCGAACCCGGATCTCTCCGGACCGCAGGCCGACACTCTAACCGCTGAGCCAAACTGGCCAGGGCGAGGAATCCTTTTTTTTAAACCCCAAACTAAGGCACTGGTAGGTAAAGGTCAGGATACAGCAAGAGGTGGTAAGAAGGGCTGAGACTTTGGAGTCAGTCATACCTGACTTCAAATTCAGTCCTGCAATTTCTAGTTCTGTGTCCTTTAGCTATTTAACTTCCCTAAGCCTCATTTATAAACTGTTTCTTTCAAATATCTAGTTTGCAGAGTTATCATCTATACTAAATGAGAATAATCTGGACCCATAAAAAGCACTCAAGTAGCATTTGTTACTATTATTTAAAACCAAGACGAGGCTAATACCAACCCCCGTTCTAAGTTTGGTTTTTATTCTGTAAAATACAATTGCCATCTAGCAAGGGTATAAACCTTTACCTAGGGAATCTTATCTAATTGGGGGAAATAAGACAAGCATATAAGGAAGTTAAATAATATTATATTAGGTGGTAAATGCCATTTTATAGGACAGTAATCCTAAAATTTTAGCATACGTCAGAGTACCCTAGGGAGCTTGTTAAAATGCAGCTTCCTGGGTCCCAACCTAAGAAATTCTGTTTCCGAAGGTCTAGAGTGGTTCCCAGAACCAGCATTTTTTATAGTCTCCAGTTGATTTTGATACAGGTGGTCTGAGGACAACACTTAGAAATCTACCAGATTTCACCTGGCAGGTGTGGCTCGGTGGACTGAGTGTCATACCATGGACTGAGACATCCCAGTTCGATTCCTGGTCAGGGCACATGCCTGAGTTGTAGCTCAATTCCCAGTAGGGGGCATGCAGAAGGCAGCCGATTAATATTTTCTCTCTCATATCAATGTTTCTCTCTCTCTCTCTCTAAAAAAATCAATAAAAGCATATTTTTAAAAAGAGAAAGAAGCCCAGCCAGTGTGGCTCAGTGGTTGAGCGTCAACCCATGCACCAAGTGGTCGCTGGTTCGATTCCCAGTCAGGGCACATGCCCAGGTTGTGGGCCTGATCCCCAGTGGGGGGCATGCAGGAGGCAGCCAGTCCATGTTCTCTCTCATTGATGTTTCTATCTCTTTCTCTCCCTCTCCCTTCCCCTCTCTCTCTAAAAATCAATAAAAATTTAAAAAAATAAAAAGAGAAAGAAATCTAACAGATTTCATAAGATAGTGTCAGCAAGTACAAAAAGAACCAATGGCTTGTGTCCAAGTGTAAGATGTTACTTTTAGGGAGAAATCTCCCAAACAATACCTCTGAAGTACTGTGTTTATTAGATGTATTAGCTATTAGATGTATTACAGGATCTTCAGATATTTTCTGAATATGCCACAAAAACAGGTATCAGCCCAGAGTTCTGGCTACTGTGTATCAGTAGCTGATAGATCCATAACACATCGTGCTTATCTGTGCTTTCAGGTAAACCAGCCAATCTCCTAGTTATAAAGACGTTCAGAAGGTAGAAGATGGAAATACACATTAAACTCAAAGAACCATATGAAGGAGCAAATCTTTCACCACATAACACATTCTGTCCCATGTCTCTCCACCCTGATGCAGCCAGGTAGAGCCATGTTCTAACCAACAGGTGGGAGCAGAGACGATGTGTGCCACATCCAGAGAAAAGCATTTAAGAGGTGATACATAACCCTCCAGCACTTGCTCTTTCTCCTGCTCTGGCAACCTTAGAAGTCACGTGCCGAAATGGTGAAGTCACACGGTAAAAGCAAAAGAGATCCCTCAGTCACTGCTTGGAGGGGAGCTGCCCTGGAGGGTGGACTTCACAACAGAAAGAAGTAAACTTTGGTTAAGTTGCCGAGATTTCAGAGGTTGTTTGTTACTACTGCAGAATCCATCCTGTTCTGACCACTACAATATGCTCTACTGTAGGAAGACCCATGCAAGAGAAAAAGATATATTTTTAGGTCTATTTCCCTACAGCCTATAATCATAGACAACATTTTGTTCTTCCACCTATGACAACAAATTAGACCTTTAGGGAGGGCCTGATCTTAGCTGCTGGAAGTCAACTACTAATTACTTTTTTTTTCTATAATGTGTTGATTCCATTTGAAAATGGCAGTCCATGAAGTTGCTTCTCCATCTCATTCAAGAAATAATGAGGGTTAAATACAAAAAAAACAAATTGTTGGTTGCCAGATAGGAGGGTATTTGGGAGGCTGGGTGAAAAGGGTGAAGGTATTAAGTACCAAGTGGTAGTTATCAAATAGTCACAGGGATGTCAAATACAGCATGGACAATATAGTCAATAGTATTACAATAGCTATGTGTGGTGCCAGGTGGGTACTAGACTTATCAGGAGGACCACCTCATAAGTCATATAAATGTCTAACCACTATGTTGTACACCTGAAACATATTGAATGTCAACTGTAACTAAAAATTTTTCTTAATTTTTTAAATAAAGAAAAGAATGAGGGAGGAGAGAATTTCACAAAGGAATAAGTGCTGCAGAAAATCAAAACAGAGAAAAGTGGAAAAAGACCACTGCATTTGA